GGAAACTGTACACCCTCAACAATGGCGATCACAAACATTGAAATTTTCAACCCTAAAACAGCTCATTTTAAACCTTAAAATTGACATTGTTGACTCTAAAGAAAACTGTGCTTTTAAATGTTGAATAGTTTCACCAAAACCACTGCCTCATTTTTTCTCCTTGAGTTTTAACACCAGCTCACCATACTTGCATTGCTTGCATTGACACAAACTAGGCCGGTTTTCCACAGTTTTCCTGTAAGGTATATTCCAATCACAGCATAATTGATTTCCCCTGTCCAATATTCAGTGGTTTATTTTCAATACATTCCAGCCCGTTCAAGGAGGAGGATACGAACTGGTCAGACAAGGTCAGAGACTGTGCCAATACAACCAAATTATTTGTGACCTGCATTTCTTCTTTGAAAGAAATGTCATTGTTTTTCAATTTTTAAGTTGTGTCTTCAGCCAACAAAAGTTTCCTGTCTCACCCGAACTGAATTATTCAGCGTCTCCCTGGTCGAGCGCAAACAAACGGAATAAAATCCAGACAGTTATGAGGCATAAATATGAACAAACAGCATCTGAGAGCATTAAGGAAACACAGCATTGGGGCGTTTGTTCAGAGCGACACATGAGGACAGTGTGCAAGTGACTCTACCCTCTACCCTCTCATCTTTTTCTCCATCCCTCTAATGATGTGTGGCCTGTCAGAGAGAAGCCAAATTACATTCTGGACCACAAAGCTTTTCCTCCTAAGTTTGCTCTGCCCGTGCAGTGCCCTGCAAAAAAAAAGAAAAAACAATAACTGGGCTTCAGCAGCTGCAAATTGCACTAAGATTTCCCAGTCTCTTCCTGTGAATTATTAATGAGAGCCAAACCAAAAGACAAAAAAATAAGAGGGGATGTGGGGGTGGGCCAATGGGGAGGGGGGGTATCTACAGAAGAATGCTGTAATTACGCCAGAGGATGAGAATTGGACCAAACTTTTCCACAGCCAGAACTAGTGAAATAGTCAGAAAGTGCAACTCAGAGCTGGAAATTTTAGAAGTCTAAATGTGAAAAGAAAAGATTTTTTTATTATTATTATTACATATGCAAAATGCCTAAAGCTGCTGGATTGACGCCCAGTTGAAAGACATGAAAAAAAAAAATCAGCATTTGCAATCTTCTCAATCAGATCTGCTCTGTGTGTGTGTGAGTGTGAGTGGACATCACCTGGTGGAGTGGATGCAAAAATTAAAAAGAAAAAAAAATTTTTAAAAATATCTCTATTTTTATTTTTGTTTATTTATTTTTTCTAATGATTTTTTTTTTATCATTATATTATTTTTAATCATCTGTAATTATTACAGAATATGAATATCTGCTTTTTTGGAACAGGTAAAACACTGAGCTATATGCAGAAACCTCTGCTGAATGTAAATGTGATTTTTTTTTCTTTTTTTGAGTTTTTTTAAACACAACATTACCATAACAGGTGTGTCACATGATCTACTCTAGGAATACTGTAAGAGACCATTTTACACAGTCTTGTGTGTATTAATGTGGGAAATCAGACAGTGGTGACCGAGGACTGTTGCTCAGCTCATGTCTGTAGGGATATACACTAGATGACTTACTCCGTGGTAAAGGTTGTGGTCTTGAAGTACTTGGTCTAGATTTGGATCCTCATGACATTGTTTTCCCAGTCCTTTACACGGCTGTTTTATTCTGTTCTTGACAGAGGTTTTGTGCTGTTGTGGTGGAATCCACGCTTCTTGTTGTGATATTTTTGTGTTAAGTTAAGTTTCCAGCTATTTCCTTTGTCATAAGGCTGTAAGTCATTCTTGAAGACAATGGTCAATTTATTGTTAAACAATATATTAAAGCTGTCAGCAAAAAAAAAGGAGATTTATAATATTTTAGTACTTAGGGAGTAACGCTCCACCTGTTAAGATGTATTGACGATTGTAACTTTTAATTGTATGAGTACTTTTGGCTAATTTGATTGTTTGTTTAGGTATTTTACCCGAGTTTTAACTTAGTTGTTATAATAACCTGTTTAATTTTGAATGTAACACTTTCAAGAGTAGAATATCAAATTAGTATTTCCACAATTCATAATCATCGAAAGAAAAGAAACCGTTTGGAGGTCATCGTGCTGCGGATTGTATTTGTGGTCTTTCCTTATGCTGTTCTGCCATCTGCTGGTCACATTAAGGTAGTGTCTCAGCATGTGCAACGTACAACATAGGTACAGTATTAAGATAAGGTTTTTACGTCAGTAATCTCTCTTTTGCAGAAAGTCGTTCATGGAACGGGATTTCAAGAATTTAGTGAGTGTTATTAGTACAGCCCCCTCCAGGAAATACACATATACACACGGTGAAAATACACAAACGCATACAAGTAAAACTCTTGAGCTTACTCGTGTGTACTTACACAAACAAACATTCGTGGAAAGCGCAAACACACGCCGCAAACAAATATAGCTGTCTTTGCAGGTGCAACATGGAGAGAAGAATTAACAGGTGCAGCAGCTAACTCCATAACCAGGGTTTTTTAGCAGTTGATTCAGTTGTGTTTTTTTTTTTGTTTGTTTTTATATATATAAATGTTTGGCATTACTCAAAATTGTAAACGTTGAAACAGTCACAAAGGCACATTTTGATCATATACACTATATACCCTGTTGCGATTTACGTTGTTTTGTTTGGCGGTTTTTACAAGTGAACAGTGGACAAATAATATATTTTTGTTCTCTATTAATAATTGTGATTATTCATACGTGTAAGATTACTCGTCACATTTATTCCAGCTGTGCCATCAAAGGCAGCGAGGTTTTGTTTTGTTTGTTTTTTTGTTGTTGTTTTTTTTTTTTTGTACTTTACCACGGTGTTGCCCGGGCCGGGATTCGAACCTCAATCCTCCAAACACCAGTCCGGTCCGTTTCATGTTGTCCCTAAATATACAGTATACTCGAGGAACCATTGTTGTTGAACCATTTGGTTCAGATCAGGTAGCGCACCAGAGTTTTCACCACTTTTTTAGGAAGGAATCAAAATATAGTGTTAAACCACAGAAACATTTTCATATCTCACAAATGTGATCTTAGATGTTACACTGGTTTGTCCCGCAGACTAAGGCTGAACTGAGCTGACTACTGTCACTGAGAGTCATCAAAACAGAAAGGACCACAATTGCAATTTTCCTGTGTTTTCCAGAATTTTCCTCTGAGAGTTTTTGATGTGGTTTGTCTTAGTTTTCATTTTACATTTTCAGTTATCGAGTGTCAAATTTCACTTTGAAACATACATCCTCACTTCCTAGGAACAACATACACACATTTGTTGAAGTATAAGTTTATGGTAATAAGTTAGAACAAATTCTACTTTGTAACCAATCTCTTCCAGAGGATCAATGCTGTACGATTAATGGTTTTTATATTTATACAAATCATAGCTGGACACAACTGTATCTCCTTCATTTTCTCCTGCTCCTGCTCCTCCTCGTTCAGAGGTTGTAGTTTCTAGTATTTCTGGGGCTAAAAACGATGCCTGCCAGCGCTGGCAGCTGTTACTTTCACTCCCAGGTCACTGTGCGCGCCCTGCTAGCTAATTACAATAGAGCCTGTAGTCATCTGCACTGCTGCCCCCCTTCATCCCACTACTGCCCCCTGTCTGGGATGGAATACTCACAGGCATCTGTGGAGGACAGTGGGAGGGTCGCACAGGGGTTGCACATGGGACATGTTTTCACACAAACGTGCCATCTTTGTAATTAGCTCCGAAACAACATATGAAACATTAAAGACACCAGGCGCCAACAACAATCAAAACATTTCATTTTCTTGTCAATTATTCATCACTTTGAAGGTTCTGAAAGGGTCATTTATATGGAAATAAGCCCGTGACGCTAACAAGGTTGTAAGATCTGATTCCAAACCATCTAAGGCACACAGCACTTCCTCTGCACTTTCTTCTTTTACACCAATACTTATGCCTTTTCTTGTCCTTTATGCGCTCTTTTCTTCTCCTGCTCAAGAAAACTCTTCTTCAAACAAAACCATTATTCAGACCCTAAAAAACAAGCATCTTTAATCAACTCTATTAAAGTGAAAAAGAAAAATCATAACAGAGTGATTTATGTCCAATCACTTGGAGTAGCTTAGTTTTTGTCAGTTTCTATGGCAGCTGTTGTACAGATCTGCAGAGGAGGACTCAAAATATTTCCTTTTCTTTATTTTGTTTTTGACGAGGTGATCAGGATAAAAGGAGGCACATGTAAGAACGTTATAGTCGTACGTTTGAAGAAATCAAAGGCCAAAGAAACATGATTGTATATGACGAAGAGAGAGACTTAAAGGGAAGTGCATAGCTTTGGTCATTCATAGTATCATAAGTAGTAGTGAGCTTTGTAGCTTGTAACTCCAGTTCCCTGACCTGTAGGTGGTGCTAAGCACACATTTAATGCCATGTTCCATGATTCATATATGGCTTTGTTGTTGTTGTTGTTTTGTTTATATATAAACCTATAAAAAGGCATAAGAATCAACATCATTAAAGACAAGAAGGATAGTTTGTTATCTACACAGTTGCTATCATGTTATCATATTAGCAGGGGTCAAGCGTAATTGATTAGTGGCACGGAGGACCGGTAAGTAGCACAATAGACACTGCATTAGCATATAGCATGTTAACACTGCTCTAGTTCCTAACAGTTTTTTAAGAGTTTGAAAGTCAATATTAAACATCATACCAATTAATCCGTTGAGTTGCATTACTGCCATCTACTGGGTATATTATATATTGATTAATATATTTTAGGAACACTACATATTACTTGCAACCTAAATGGTAAACAGGACAATACAGAGGAACAGTAGTAAAAATGAGAAAGTAGACATGACCAGAGACTTTATGTGACCCTCCAAAAAAACTGAGGGGATTCATTCTAAATGTCTCCATGTTTCTGAAGACTTTCCTGTCTGTTAGTAAATGTAAAAATGTAGGTACAAAAAAAAGCTGACCCATTAAAAATTAGACATGAAATAAATTTTATTTATTTTGTTTTCATCTTGCAAGTATATCTTACACAATCATAAAAATATTTTTAAAAACTAAATTATGAATTATGAATAAGAGTCATTTCATATTAAATGCAAAAATGACAGAAACTTTATAGTTAAGTTCTGTTTTAACTAAACTGTTAAGATTATATGTAAAAATTTAAAGAAAACATATTAAAATATTAAAATCAATATAATCATGCACAACACAAAAAACACGCAGTAACATTAGGGGAAAATTAAAAAAAAGAATCACTTCTTGACTTTATCATATAAATACATTCATTGACTATATATTTCCCAAATAACCATACCACTCAGTGTAGTACATTGTAAAAGACATGATTGAATTGAAAATTGAAACATTGAACAGGTACATCTGATTCATCATTGATGAAACAATTCAAAACACAGTACTTCTAAATAACAATTACGATTTCTTATCAGACTCATTATACCGTAACTAGTGAACTACAACATGTGACCACGTCATTTTTTAAGCATTACATGGTAATGAACAGTAGGGCATATTTCTCTGAAACAACCAGTATTTGCCCCTGTGGGGGCAAACGTTTTGATAGGGCTGACTGTCTGACTGACAGTGGTTTCCTTGAATTAAACTTTACTTGAGCTTCAACAATTTTCCTTTGAGGATCTGTCCCAGCTGAGAAAGGAAGAGACCTCGAGTCATCAGTGTTAAGCCAAATAAGATAAATGTACTAGCCAATAAAACAGTTAAAATAAACAAAGATAGCATTGTCAAAATGTTAAAAAAATGATCAATAAAATGTGGAAGATTAAGGAACAAATTAGCCAAAAGTGGATCTAATGGTCAGCCAAGAAAATAACACACTTTTTTTAGCGTAAGATAAAATAAAAAAAAAACCAGTTCATTACAAATTATAAAAATGAAATATCCTTTTTTTATATTAGATTCCTAGCCTGAATAAACCTGCCTTGGAAACATGTTTGTCATCCAAGCCAGACTTCTTGAACATTCTTTGCTAAATGACAACAGAATTAGTAACTTTTTTAAACCGTCTAACAAATGTTTTAAGATTTACCTTTCCACCGATGGATCCTTCTGGCACCAGGTGCAATGGAAGGTCATTTTCAAGATTCCTGATCCCAGGATCAGCTCCGTGTCTCATCAGCAGCTTTAGGGCTTCCACTTGACCTTTACAGTTTTGCAATGAGCAGACAACATGCAAGGCTGTGTTTCCACTGAATGTCTGAAATACACAGACAAAAAACACACATGCCGCTGTAACAATGATCAGCAACAAAACTAACCTGACAGCAACTCTTTCTGTACTAATATTGCGTCTCTAACCTTATTGTTAATGATGGACACTGAAAGTGGCTGGTCAAGAAATTCTTTGAGCAGCTCAACGTTGGCTCGCTCTGAAGCCATGTAAAGACACGTACGTCCACTTTTCAGATCCTGATGGAGAGAAACAAGTAATAAAAAATTAAAAGCTACAGGACCAGAAAGTAATTAACAGTGAGTATGCTGGAATTTCTAACAACAAATACCATAAAATCATACTAATTGTTTGCTTAATAATTTAAGTGTAGGGGCTTTTTTGGCTGAGATACATTTACATATTATATATTTTGGATGGCGGCAACTCAAGTAATACAGACTTGCTATTAAATTCCAAAATATAAAATAAATGTTAGTTAAGACAGGGTCAGAAAGATCTCACAAAAAGCATTATAAATATTTGGAAAACGTTAATTTTATGATTTATGATTTATGAAAAGTGTTTAAAGGAATAAATATGACATCAAAACCAGTGGAGTTCACAGGAAATTAATATCTGAAAATTGGGTTAAAAAAGAAGTAACATTTATCAGGATTTATCATCAGTTCTAAATAGATTAAACAGCAGTGTGACGTGTACAGCAACACTGCTCTCTGCCAGTATTCAGTTGCATATTTTATTTGATTGTAGCACCTCCTGCAGGGGAAAGAGGACATCTAGATGTTTTGTGATTTTTAAACACTTATCCAAAATCCTTGCATACCCTGCACTGAAGTTCAGAAAATACATAATACCGATTGGGAGAGTTGTTTTGTTTTTGTTTTTTTAATCATCAACTATTTTCAAATCATCCGTTTTCATGGTTGTTATGGTTACCGTGGTGGTGAGGGATGCACCCATGTGTAGTAGAGTCTTTATACAGTCAAGATACATGTGTTTTTTCTGCACCAGCTTCTGTGCCATGTATAAGCAAGGATTTTCCAGACTCCGTATCTCCTTTATGACTGCGTTGTGAGACAGGATTGCTGTGTGTAACGGTGTTAGACCTCCAGAGGGAGACAGAGAAATGTTTTTAAATCTTCAAAAGGCTACATTGGCATAAAGATAAAACTCAAGTTAAAGAAAATAAAGTACTTTCTCACCCTCGTAATTGAACATATCAACGTCAATGACCTGCCCTGTCTGTAGTGCTGTTCTCCAAATAGTCTGGTGGATTGAAAGCGAGAAAAACAAAACCAATTCTGTAAAGTCATCCATTTGTGTCTGTGTAAAGGCACCTTCCTGTAACTGTTACCTGAAGAGTGAGACAGTGGCCTTTCTCAGCACACACATGCAGGGGAGAGCGCCCCCAAGAGTCACCAGTGTTGATACTCGCTCCGTGTGCTATTAGGTCGTGTGCAATTAAGGGTTGATTGGTGACGGTTGCAATTTGAAGCGCTGTCTGTGTGAACAAATGAACATTTGAAGAGACCAAGCATGAATACCGAGGAGAACCTCGCACTTCTGCAGTTAAGGTTTATAAAATTGGATGTTGATTTTTACAGTGTACATCCCAAAATGATCGTGCTACATTAGGACTCCCAGCCATTGGTCTATTGTCAAGCTATGGTTTTGACTTTGGTGACCAAGGTGGGGGATGGACCCCTGAGGAGTGCAGAATTAAAAACCAGGGATTATTTTGTGAGAATAAACATTTTGGGAATTAAAGTGTATTAAATAGTTCAGTTTTAAAGCAATACCTGAGAAGGACAATAGTCCTATCTACCAAAGAGGGCACTGCAGAAAAGTTTGGGAAACACTGGCCTGAGTGATTAATTGGAGACATACCCATGATAGAAGATGCATAATGTATGTGTATAAGACAGACTGCGTGTGTGTGTGCGTCTACCTGACCATTTCGCTCTTTTTTATTCAGAGTACCATATCCTGCCATTTTGGCAGCAAGTACATAAGCCAGAGCTCGTCTGCCGTGGGCCACAGCTATGTGCAGGTATCTAACAGATAAAAGATTAAATACTAATATTAAGTACTAATTTTTCATGGCAAAGCCGTTCTTATCTTGATCATGGTATTCTTCACGCATACGTACGTGTCACCATCCGAATCATGCATGTTCAACAATTCAGGAGAGATCTCTTCAATTCTCTGCGCCTCCGCCTGTATCTGCCAGTGAAATAATGACATCCTGGCCTCAGTGGAGAGAGGCGTTTTCTGCTGAAAGTCCAGGTATTGTGGTGGTTGTTTTGGGAAAATGTGAACAACCGGAGGAAGGAAATGAGCGAGATTTCTTTGTGTGTGAGGGCTAGAGTGGCTGATGACGGTTTCGGCTCTTGCAAATCCAGACGTCTGCTCCATGATGCTCCTGTCCTCAGGAGAGGTCCATGGCTGACAGGAAATAAAGACTGGTGTCAAAGCTCAAACATGATTGGTTGATGCAACGTATGCATTTTATTAACAAACACAACGAGTGTTGTGACTGATTTGCATCTCTACTTTCTTATCTGCTGCACCGGTTGGCAACTTCCTCATACTCGTTATAACGTTTGCCTTTTCCCCACATAAGAGGACGAGTTTTTATTGAAGATTCTGCCACGAAAACATCAACACTAGGATTATTACAGTTTCACCAACCTGGTGGTTCATTAACAGTAGCTCTTTCACCATTTTGTTTCTCCGTAGAGGAGGCATGCAGTATCCTGGTGAAAAAACGAATGTCACCACCTGCCTAGTCCAAAGTTCAGTTGTTTTTAAAGTAAAATGTAATAAAAAATAAAAGATAAATAAAGAATCAAACTATGTTTTCTTTTTGTCTGCACTGTCTGTACTGAGTACAACACAGGCATCAGATTCATTTGGCTGTAAAGGTACAGACAATGAGTGTGTGGATTCAGTTTCAGAGCACAGTGAATGAAAACTGACCTTTGTGTTTGTGGCTGAGGTTTGGAGACGCTCCCTTAAAGTCATTCACTCCCAGATCCACCATGACAGAGAATTCATGAGTTGTTTACTAACACTCTTAGTCCCTTTCAAATGTCCCTTTCAAGACAAATGTAAAAGAAAACCCACTCACTACTAACGGCCGACTCACTTTTCCACACCTCCCTCCGTGTCAGTGCAGGATCTGAAATGAGGAAGTCGGGTAGAACTCATACGCAAAATCCCTGGCAACTTCCTGGTTTGCATATTATACAAACGAGTGTGACAGGCTTTCAAAATAAAAGTGAAAGTATTGAGTTTAAAACCAACTAAAACATTAGTCATGATTTTAGTGGAATTGGATTGGCTTTGTCACTGCTTTTATACAGAAGGGGTTTTTACCTGCTAGATTTGTTTTTGTAGGAGAGAAAGATTAGACTCTAATGTACTCTTATATGAAATGATTACAATGTTTCTAATTGTTAAAAGTTGGCGTAAGAAGTTTTAAGAGAGCCTCTTGGAAAGAAAACAGACTTTGCAGTGGTAGAAAATCTAAATTTGAAATATGACCCTAGAAAAACTAACGGTGACGGTGAAAAAAAATGTGACTTCTCATTGAGATCATCTATTCTCTCAAACAGAACATCCTCTTCACATACCTGACAAATAGACAACACGGTCCATTAAAATTCTTATCTTCATTTTATGTTTGTTCTGTATCAGGTCTAAAAGTCCATCCATCCAGCCACCTTCATCCGCTCATCCGTTACTGGGTCGCCGGGGCACTGCACCAACCCCCCTAAACCTTCCTGCGGGTGGTGAGTCCACTGGAAGGTACCAACCGCTCTAACTAGGATTTGAACTTGCCCAGGAGGTGAACCCTGGGGTTCCACACCAATGACAGAGACATTGCCTCTGGACTAATGTGCCACATAAAAATATTTAAACTAATGTAATTTTTCAGTTTTTATCCAATATGCAATTTTGTTTTCACCTTACAATGCAATCCTCAACCGCGCAGCCCGGCTAGCTCAGTTGGTAGAGCATGAGACTCTTAATCTCAGGGTCGTGGGTTCGAGCCCCACGTTGGGTGAAGGTTTAGAGTGATTGACTTACCAAACAATGCACATCAATGAGTAACTTCATTTTGACCAATCATTAAACACCTTGAGAACACTATAACATCTCCATCCATCCATCCATTTTCATCCGCTTATCCGTTACCGGGTCGCGGGGGCAGCAGTCGCCACCCAAATCACATTGCACCGTACCAACCCCCCCAAACCTTCCTGCGGGTGGTGAGTCCACTGGAAGGTACCAACCGCCCTAACCGGGATTCGAACTTGCCCAGGAGGTGAACCCTGGGGTTCCACACCAATGACAGAGAGATTGTTTTTGACTAATTAAACCTCCAGTGTTTTGCAGCAAGAAAATTGGAAACCTTACCAAACACTTTGTGACATCTTTCATCTGCCTTTGACTGTACTTGTACAGTACTTTTACCTCAAGTGCAAAAAATGTAAGAGGAAACAGAAAACATTGAAAAACTAAAGTGACTTCCTTTAAAAACATTTGTTCTTTGATTCACCCTCCTCACAGCGTGGACATGAGACACACCCAGTTCTCAGTCTCTTTCTTTCTGTTCCTGAACAGTTGAGTGCAATTGTGACAGATGTTGGGCAACAGACCAATGACGACAGACCAAATGTCATGCCCCAGCCTCATGTACTTCACTGAGGCTGAGTCTTGTGACTACATGTTACTGATACTAACATACAGAGGGACACTAACACTATTTGAGTTATTAACAGGAAGAGCCATGCCAGGACCCACAATCTCTCTCACCCCTGACCCTACCCCTACCCTTCCCAAAATGGCGTACAAGCCATATTGGGAACTTCTAACATCTCTTGTGTTTAGCTACTCCTCCCAGGTGAAAGACAGAGTAAGATCCAGACGAACCAGCGGGTCTCCCTCCAGCCAGCGTTTACCTAAAAGTCCTCAAAAGGGGGTGGAACCAGCCCAGGTGGGACGGTCCATACGAGGTAACGGCCAGGACCTAGCACGCTGTGCAGCTGAAAGAACGACCAGGAAAGTGGTACTACATGACCTAAACTACTCCAGCAGACGACTAACCAGAAGAGGAGCAAGAGGACAGCCAGACTCCAGAGGAGAACCAGACCCAAGAAGAAGTTTAAAACAAGAACTTTTGCTTGGATTTAACCTGCTGATTCATCATAATCATAGCATAATCATAGCATTATCACATGCTTGTGTGTTAATTCTACATTTATTTGATGTTTAACAACGCATTCAACATGCAGGGGTGTCCTGAAGATAGAAGAATCAGAGGGATAGCAATACTTATAGTGGTAATAGCCTGAGTGATTGTACCAGTGATGGGGAACAAAAATGATGATCGAATCAATTATATACAGTACATTACAGTGTCCTGCGTCTGGCTGATATGACTCAAGGTGCTGGTAAAAAAATTGACTGATGAGCTCCATGTTAACTTTATGATATCTTTTCAGAATAAGATGGTGATAGACAGAATATTGGCTGAGAAGAGAGAAGTCTGCACCAACCCCAATAACACAGCCACCGACGGTTCAGTGAGGCGGCCACTAGAAGGGTTACGTATGTTGTCTGCACCACTGCATGAACATTCAGGTGCAGGTAATTATGTGAGAAAACCATCATTCAAGCAGTTGGCCCAACTCAACATATCTCTGGCATTTATGTCACCATGGCCCCAGGCACATGTGAAGTCTATGCCAGTTTGAAACTTGGTCTTTCAGCTTCTGCGGTGACTCAGAAATATGAGGGGGTGACCGTCTTAGAGATGCAGTGATCTTTTGACAACGATCAAAAGGGGGAATTGTAGGAATATTACTGCTCTGCTATAACTCAACAGGTCCATATATGGTGACTCGGAAGGTTTAACTCAACAAATGCTTATCAGCAAAGAACAGTAAACCACCTGCTTTTGACACCCCAGACATGTGTGAAAGTTGTTTTCACATATTGAATTATTATTTCTACAAAGTGTTTTTACTTTTCTTATGATATATGCATATTACCTTGTCTTAAACTATGTATGGACTTTGGATGAAATAGTGTTTCTGATAATAGGTGCCTTGTGCCTGTCGCAAACTAAGTGGGAACTCAGTATGAAATATTGTTTAGGATAATAAACAACTGGTGCTTATCTTAAATGGTATGTGACCCCTGTAACGTGTGCAGCAGAACGTTCCTGTCTTTGACCTGGGATCAAAAGAACATCCACTACACTATAGTCTTACCAAGTCCCAGAAATGCCTTAAAATGCA